CACTTAGAAACTGGATATTGCTTCACAAAAAATGGCTTTTGTCTTGAATGACTGAATAAGTGCTCGTGTGAAATCAGGATTTTCCTTGCTACTGCAAAAAGCAAGAGTCTCCATTGCATAGCTAGCTTGCCATCATGCCAGAAATACATTTTTCACTGCTTCCAATCAGTTTATTTTTTATTTCAAAAATACGTCGAATTTTTTCGCTCGATATGTCTTACAAAAATGTCTAGTTATAATGATTGTTTTCAGTCAAATCAGAATCTTAAAATTCTGCAGTTTCGCATCATTTTTTATAGTATCGAAAAATTACCAAAAATAAACAGCCACCGAACAACAAAAACGACATTTGAACTCCAGGAACTCGACTCCATGACGCCCACAGATCTGCGCCCCGACTACATCCGAGCAAGCGCCACAGATCAGCTCCTCGGGATTGTGTTGTGAATTATCCAGTTCCTTCACAGTGAAAATAAATTGATCAAAGTAATTCAGCGAAATCAAAGAATGAAAAAAAATCAAAGAATCCAACAAACACTGTTTTTCACAAAAACTTTTGAAAAAAAAACTCCTCACAGCTAAACCAAAAAAATCTTCCTCTTCAGGTAAGTGATCATGCGATTTTGCAGAAGTTAAGGATACAACTGCATCTAATAGGAATCCTAATTAAAAGTCCGTATTGTATTAAATCATCGGTTTTAAAAAGCGTTAACAGAATTTGTGACAATAAAAGGTTTATTCCCGTAATGGCTAACTTGCAAAGTTTTTTCTAAAACGCTAAAATGTGGCTTGATAAAACAATGAAACTCAAACCTGCTGACAACGACTTTCACCACCAAAATAAGCCTTCCCACACTTGAAGCACAAAACGTACATATATCGCTCCATAGCATAGCTTTCTGGACTGCCGTGGTATTCACTGCAAAACACTCGTTAAAACCATCGCTCTGTTCGAATTCCCAGCTCCGAGCGCTCATGTTGCCATCCGTACAACACCGCCTTCAGCGCTATGGTATTAAGAGATAGACAAGGTCCTTTCGAACTGGTAATTTAAGGACATCGACGATGCTGTGAAGTTTGCGCCAGTGGGCAGCCTTTCCACGGCCGGAGATTGTTGCGCATATGTACTTACTGGTCAAAATAGATGTCAACTTTCTCCAAGTTATATAACTTAGAGAAAAAAATAATACATAATGTATAAAAGAAGAGAGGAACAGTTTGCGCGCACATTTATACGCCTACGTATTACACAGTTTTATAGATCTCATATTTGTGATTTGCGAATAGATAATCTTTTGATTTATGTAAAAAGACAGCTAGTAAAAACAAGGAAAATACTAACGAAGCAAACGTAACCTATTTTCAGAAGTAATCGCGGGGCACTGCAGCAACCCATCATATTCAAGTCTCATGCACGCTTTGCTCATCACTTCATTGTAAAGTCTTTTTAGTGGGGCTAACAAATCGGCTACCGATGGATGATCAATCTGAAATGCAGTCCACTTCGGCGAATTTTCCTGTACATTCACAGCAGAGCAAGAGAATATTTGGTGATATGCTTACGAACCTAAAAAGAAATAAGAAAACGCCGAGGGAAGCAGAATGACGATAACAAAAAGTTTCAACCAGACTAAACATTTCCGGGAAAAATAAAACGCGTTTCAAGAAACTTCAGAAAAAAAATCAGGTACCAAAATTGTTCGTTATATGTATATGTCAACCAAACGATTACCCAACAACTACCAAATAATTACCCATGCTTGGTTCTGTTTCAGATATACGTCAACCAAGCAGTTAGCCATGTACATGTCAATTAAAAAAAAAAAAA